CCCCCCCCCCCCCCCCCTTTTTTTTTTCCCTGTTGCCGTTCCTTTCCCAAGAAAGTCTAAATATGATATGATGTACAGTACTCATGTAAGAGAAATTCAAGATTCGAACCATGGAAAACCAGCCCGACTCCGCGGGTAGATCCAGATCGACCAATCATCATGAGCCAAATGGGGGACGGCCGATCTTTTCCATTCCTTCGGTTACTTACACGGTTCGTGTCGAGTCTATCGACTCCGTAGAAGAAATTTCACAGTTCTAGCCCAGGAAGCGGTGTAGAATTTTTTCTTTTTTCCTGAAATTAAAGGATTATGCTTTTGTGACTCGACCTTCATAGCTGTTGACAATTTGACATTACATATTACTCGTACCCGGTACTTCAGGTTATCTCCCACTGAGACGATATCCATACTTGGGGGGACTGGGTTAGAGGGAAGCCCCTCACGCCTCGACCTTCTCCTTCCTCGGAAACAGCACGATCACACCCACAATTGCGGAGAGGATTAGAGCGGATGCTATGCTCATGTCAGAGCTACCCATAGGAAGGACATGGGGGGGGGGGCATACCAGGAATAATCCGATAAGCCTCAATGAAACTCTCCTGCACGGCCACCTGAATGCCCCGCGGCAACGTGCTGGTGAAATTGTAATCGTGGACGATATGCTCGATCAACTAACCCCCATTGCATTTGAGTTAGCAATCCCATCTCGTTCATGCACCCAGTGGAAGAAGGAACATACCTCCCGCTTCCCCGCCACCTCCCCCAACCCCACGGCCACCCGCGCCCGAAACACCCACTGCAGCGCGGCGGCGCTGACGCTCGTCCCCACGATCTGGCCCACCTGCTGCGCAAGATGGTACACGGCGATGGCGCTGGCGAGCTGCGCAGCGGGCGCCCGGATCGTCAGCGCGATGAACTGCGCCGACAGGAAGAGTCCGCCGCCGAGGCCCCACGGGAAGCAGTACAGGACCTCCAGGGGTTGGATGCCGTGTAGCCAGCGGAGGACCATTAGGGTTAGTGAGACAACTGTGATGAGGATGGCGATGAGGGACAGTTTGCGGGATTGCAGGTTTCTGTTGTCTTTTGTTAGGGTTGTTGGGACGTGAGAGTGGTGCTGTGGGTGCTCACCTGCTGAGGGCTTTGCCGGCGATGATGGAGCCGGAGATCAGGCCGAGGGCTGCGGGCCAGATGCGAATTGCGATGGCGGAGTTGGAGAGGTGGTCGATTCGGGAGAGGTAGGCGGGGAGATTATTCAGGATCTGTGGACATTCTTAGAGTCGGTTTTGAAAGGACTGGTGGCAGGGACTGGGGATAGACTCACAGTGGTGACGGTGGCGAAGTAGATAACCTGGCCGCCGAAGATGGCCCCGAGCCCCGGGGAACAGACAATCGAAGGGGGGATGACGGGGTGGTTGGTCCCAAACCGCTCAATCAACACGAACACCACGAGAAAGACCCCCGAGACGGCTAGCAAAGCTGGAGTCTGAGATGAGAGGTATGCGATTCCCCCCTCGGTGGTGGCTAGGATGAAAGACGTGACCAGGATGAAAAAGCTGGCCACTCCCAAGTAATCGAAGTGCCCCAGGCTCAGATGTTTGCCCGAGTGTGTTTCAGCGGCCGGGGTGGTAGAGAACTGCCACTGCGCGAGAGCCAGACAGAGCATCGCAATGGGGGTTTGACCGATCAAAGACCTGAGTATCACCGTCAGTCCAGTCACTGTGGTTTGATTCAGCCCAAAGCTCAGCGCTCACCATCTCCAGCCGACCAGGTCGGCGACCAGCGCCCCCAGAGGTCCTCCACAGCCCTGCCCGACGATACCGGCTGCGATGATGTAGCTCCGCACTGATGCGACTTCCGTGATGTCGAACATTTCTTGGTCTCCCGTCAGCATTGCCCTTGTCCCCCGATATAGCGAACTTACCGTTCACCAGGACGGAGAGGAGATCGGTCATGCCTGCACCCCCCATCCCTGAGATCAAGCGACCCAAGACAAAGGGCCAGAGAGTATCGGAGATGCCACTGTGGAATCCGCATGAGCTATGGGCCAGAACGAATCACAAAGTCTCGTTGAACGACGTACGAGATCAAACATCCCACCGCGAATAGGCCGTATGCCGAAAGAAGGAATCGCCGACAACCGTAGATGTCGCTCAGGAAGCCATACTAGATCGATTGTTGTCAGCCTCCATTCTTGGTAATTGACTTGCAAGGGGTACGAACCACCGGCAATGCGATGCAAAATCCCACATTGTAAATCACCAGCAGCAGCGACGCACTGGACGGGGAATGCAGCGACGAGGCGATCTCGCCTTGAGTGGCCAACAGAATGGACTTATCTGCGCTCGCGAGGAAGACACCTGCATTACGATGTCCGGTCAGCTTCCAAGAGTGCACGACAAATTCAGACATCACCCACCAACTAGTCCCGCCAAAATCCTACTGAAGTAGGCTTTGCCGGTCGGTCGCGGCTGGTCGCCCTTGCTCAACAACGGAGTCTGTTCGTGCGCCATGCTGGTGTGAATGCGACCAGAATCAAAACCATTGAGAAACAGAACTGAGCACAGACGGAATGACGTCCGAATTATCACTGCGCCGTCTGAGCTCCAGAATTGCGTCGGGCAAGGCTCGGTGGCCTCAAGCAGAGAAAGTTAGGGTACATCAACTGGATTGCTCCTAAACGGAAATGGGCAATGCACCGGACGATCGTCAAGCCCCTTCATGCAGCCAAGACAATAGTTCATGATTACTGTGTCACAATTCTGTCACAATCGGTGTCACACTGTCAATCTGGGACACGAATCCTCCGATTGTTTACCGCTAAGGCAGACAGCCCCACCGAAGTGGATCGATCGCGATACAGCTGGACAACAGCCGATCCTCGATACTCCGTACATGCCGCATACACTGTCGATCTGCAGCTAAAGGGGCCGTGTCTGATGCACTCTGCAGAAACATTCACATTCACTCAGGACCATGCACTCTCACTCACGGACTTACTGAGGATAATCCTATTATAAGCTCAAAGGGTCTTCTGACAGACGATCTTCATCTTGCACTTGACTTTGCAGTAATTTCCACGATTAATCCGCCTCCCACAGGCCTCTCCAACACAAAATGAATTTCTTGCCGCGGTCACTGATCACCCCGCCCGCGACGGCGACAACCACACCCTCACCCGCCGCCGAGATTCTCGCGCAGTTCCGACAAGAACACCCGGACATCAAATTCCTGCGCTGGCAATGGCAGGACTACTCAGGCGTCCAGCGGGCCCGCGTGGTCCTGCTGGACACCGCCATCGCCCAACTGGCCGAAGGCAAGCCCATGAAAGCGACCGGGCTGGCGCTGACCTGCTCCGTCGACAACCACCTCATCCCCGGCACCCCGACGGATGCGCAATTCTGGCTCGTGCCGGACTGGACGACGCTGCATCCGACCATCAGCCCCGGCAGCGCGCAGGTCCTCTGCTCGCTGGATTACACCCTGCCCGGGCAACCGATGACGCAGGCGCTCTGTCCGCGTCACACACTCTCTCGGGTGCTCGAGCTGGCGCAGACGCGGTGGGACCTCTCCTTCCTCGTCGGATTTGAAGTCGAGTTCGTGATCATGAAGCCGCACCCCGAGACGGGCAAGCTGGAGCGCTACAGCCAGGGATGGGGCCTCTTCTCCGTTGCCGGGTTGCGCGACCCGTGCTACACGCACATCGAGCAGTGCGTGCTGCGGCTGCAGGCGCGCGGGGTCGACATCCAGGCGATCCACACCGAGGGCGTGCGGGGCCAGTACGAGTTCGCGCTGGGGCCCAAACCGCCCATGCAAGCGGTCGACCAGCTGCTGCTGGTGCACAGCTACCTGAAGGACACCTTCGCGCCGCTGGGGTGCCTCGTCACCATGGTCCCCAAGCCCGTGGCCGGCGACCCGCTGGCCAACGGCCAACACACCCATCTCTCGCTGCAGCCGACCCCCGCGCCGGACCGCGAGGCCGCCTTTCTCGCCGGCATGCTGAAGCGGCTCCCCGCGCTGTGCGCCTTCTGTCTGCCTCAGGATGTCTCGTACGAGCGGCTGAAGCCCTTCGTCGGCGGCGCCGATGCCGTGGGCTGGGGCACTGAGTGTCGGCTCACCCCGGTCCGCAAGCTCGAGCCCGGCCGCTGGGAGATTCGGTGTGTAGATGCCATGGCTAATATGTATCTCACGCTGGCGGCGGTGATCGGGGCCGGGTTGCTGGGGTTGGAGGGCCGGGAACCGTTGGTCTGGCCGGATCTGGGGGATCCGGTGAATGCAAACGTGGACCCTGGGGAGCCGCTGCCCAAGAGGATGGAGGAGGCGTTGGATGTGCTGCACGCGGATGCGGGGGGACTGGCGAACGCGATCGGGAGGAGGATTATTGATCTGTATGTGGCGACGAAACGATTCGAGGTGGCTTCGCTGGCGAAGCTGGATCCGGAGGAGGTGAGGGGCTTGTTTGTGGAGTTGTACTAGATGACGCGGGCCGTCTTTTTCTTCTGGTAGAGAATATACTTGTATAGTAATGGTTAACTGTGTTTCGTTGTGGTGATTGTGCTGTTGTGGAAGTGGACTTGGACCATCAGACGACAGCAGCGTAGAGCCGGCCTTGTGGTTGCCGCAGAACATATAGCACGAACCCGCAATACTTTCATTTCCAAGAAAAGTGTCCTGCCTTGCCAACAATTAGCACACAATGAGGTCAAATATGCGAAAGAAGGATAGTTCTATATTCCATCTTGCTTCCCCCCCCATTTCGCCTTCATTTTCTTACTAGTTTCGTAATCTCTTCACCTTCTTGGACTTTGCGGCCTGAGGCTTTGACCCTCGGCTCATTTACTAGTAGTATGTTATGTCAGGTGTATAGCGCAAACTTGATTGAGATATACCAAGAAACTAGCATCATTGGTCTAGTGGTAGAATTCATCGTTGCCATCGATGAGGCCCGTGTTCGATTCACGGATGATGCACTCACTTTTTGTGTTTTTCTTTTTGGCTTCTTGCGGGACTGAGATAACCAGCCGCATGACTGTCACCGCTTGTTCCCGCATACCCAAATCACTACTTCTTTTCGCATGTGGTCTCCAGCCAGTAAGAACGAAAGTAGCCTCAATCTCCTGGCAGCCGATGTACATACAGTCCACTCCTCCGCCCATCTTCCACCCCACTACATTTCCAACCCCTACCCCCTACCCCCCACCTCCCCCTCCCCCAAGAATCAAACCGAAGAACCCCCACCCTTACCTAGTACCCTCCTCAACAACAAACTCCCACTCCACCTCCCCAGGCTCCTTCCAATACCCCGTGCCACTCCGCCGAAACCCCAACTTCTCCAACGCCCTCGCACTGCGCGCATTCGGCCGCTCCGTCTCGGCGATAAACCGCCGCACGCCCCGCGCCGCCACCGCCCACCGCATCACCGCCGCCGCCGCCTCCGCCGCAATCCCTCTGCCCCAATGCTCCGGGGACACCCCGTAGCGCACCTCGACCATCTCGTTCCACGGCGGAAGCGGCGCGTCCCCGGCCTCGCGGGGGGGGATCGAGGTCGTCGTGCCGTCGCGGACGCCGGCGTAGCCTATCCATTCGATGGCATCGAGATCATCATCATTGGTGGGTAGATTGTTGAATTTCTCGCCGGTTAGGATGGTGATCTCATTGCTGGAGCTTTCCGCTGGGATGGGGAGCGTTGGCGGACGCAGCCCCACGGCGCAGTCGCCCATCCCGCGGACGTGCCAGCAGCGCGCGATGTCGCGGGTTCGAATCACCTCCCGGGTTTCGGGGTCGGTCCAGTGCCGGACCGGGAAGTGGGCGCCGAAGCCCATTGTGCAGAATTCGGGGTTGGCGTGCAGGGAGGCGTAGAGTTTGCGGTAGGTGGGGGAGGAAATGGCGATGGGGGTGGGGAGGATGATGAGTCGGGGGGTTAGGATGGCGAAGGGGGCCCAGGGGAACGTGGGAACTTCCGTGGTGTTCATTTTGGGGTTGGTTTTGATGGGTTTGGGTGGATGTCAGTTATAGGGTACTCCTGTAACTACCAGGTAGTTGATGCAGGTTGATGGAAAGAGACTCGAGGAGAGCCCGGCTAAACAAGGGTTGTTTTCTGGAAACCAGCCTAATGCGGGTTAGTGGGGGTTCGGGGGACGGGCCGGCCAACAAAGTGTCAGTTGTCTGTCACTTCTTGTGTAGGTCACTGTGGTTCACAGCCTGGAGGGGGAAGCTGTTTGCAGTCGGACTCTTGCTGCCTCCATGCCGCGCGTTCCGAGCCGTCCATCAGGCCTCATTCGGCGTTGCAACCACCAAACATCCCCGCGATGACGTCAACCAGGCCAAATGGGCAGCGGAAAAAACAGCAGCCGGGGACATCATCCCATATCTTTACCTAAGCCAGCATGTTATCTGATTTACGTCATGTTCCCGATACTCCTTACGCGTATAAAGAAAGCGTGAGATGGCAGGTCGAACACCCAGCTAGCCAAGAAATCTTAATCTCAAACCTTACAACACCTACCTCAACCCGAAGCTCTCTGCAATAAGCTACACCTTACACTATACCAACCACCACAATGTCGAGTTTCCTCCACAAAGCCGAAGACGCCCTGCACCTGCACCACAACAAACACCCCTCCCAGGACAACCACCACGCGCAAACACCCGAACAACCACAGCAGCAACACTCCCACGCCCACCAGCAACAAGAACCCCACGATCCCAGGGCCCCAGCACCGCCAGCCGTACCCCACGAAGGTACGACATGATCCCCTCGCTCCTCTACTCGCCCAGCTAACCTCCAATAATATATCCAGGCACCCACCACGACCACCACGGCAAACGCGACTCCCACCACCCCAGCCCCGCCGAGATCGCCCGCGCGGACTTCATGGCCGACCGGCAGTACGACCGGATCCTGAAGTCGCCCGACCACGGCGCGGGGATCGGGTTTGAGATGTGAGAAACCGGGGAAAGAAGAGATAGAGAGGGCGTCAACGAAGAGGAAAGCGAGTCTTTGAGTGTGAAATATGAATAATGGATAATGAATGGAATACTATGTTTTCTTGTGTTGTGGTTGTACGGATTGTCTTGGCGGGCGAGCTTGGGGCTTTGGGGGTGAGTTAGTAATCACTTTATTGGGGACAAGCTCCGCCAAGTCGGGATTGTTTGGGCAGTTGGTAGGGATGGGGTGGGGTGGGGTGTATTCATTCCAAGTTGTTCGCTTGAATGTAGAGATAGTGTAGCTAGTACTTCGTATATTGTCTATTGTTTGTTTGGATATTACTGGGTTATACGGTTGGATGAACTGTGTAACCATCCTTACTAGAGTGTTCAAGATACCATCTGCGATAGCGACATTAGAAGATAGAAGAGGAAAAGAGAGAAACATTGAAGAAAAAGAAAAAAAAAAAAAAATCTCATTCTCAACTATACATATGTACAGAGATACACAATATGAACTGCAATGAAGTTAGACAGACACCCAGTGCGTTTACCCAAATACCCACACACACTGTACTTCCCTCTTCCAGGGGATTTCCAAGAACTTCTGACCCACCAATGCAAAATCCTTTCTCAGCTGGGGGCGTGCAATCCAGGCACGCTCCATACCTTGGCCGGCCAGCCACCTCTTTCGACTACAAACACAGACACAGACATATCACATTCACCACAAACTCCACCCACCTTCACGGCCGACCCCACAAGCATCAAATCGTCATCGCCCGGTGCGGCAAACAATATTCCGCGGTGGCGCGCCACCGCCCGTCCGCGGAGCGCCGATTACACGGCAACTCGAACTCCTGGAGGGAGGTCTCGCAGATGCGCTCGGGGGTGCGCGCGAAGCTGCGGAACTGGGCCAAGAACTGGTGGATCCAGGGCGCGTCGGTTCGGGTGTCGAAGGAGGTCTTCGCGTCCAGGCCGCGGAGCCCCAGCGCCCAGAAGCCGTACTGCGGGTGGTGGACGTAGAACCGGACCCAGTCGCCCTGGATGATGCCCGCGAAGGAGAAGCGCGGGTGCCGCGCGTCGTTGTGCGGCCACATCGACAGCAGGAACGGCCAGTCCGGGCTCTTGAAGGCGCTCTGGCCGCCGATCAGCGTCAGGTGCGTCCCCGTGCACGCGCTGTGCACCGTCAGCCAGTCGTAGCCGCACCCCTCGTACTGCCCGCCATGCGCCTTCGAGCTGTGCACCGGCTCCGGGCTGCCCGTTTTGATCACGAACCCCTCATGCGGCGGGAAGTACTGCCTGACGAGGGACTCCCAGGCGGACCGCGGGGAGGAGTTCTGATGCCGGTAGGCCCAGTAGCCGTAGTGCGGGGTGCGTGTGAGCCCGTAGCATTCCATCTTGCCGGATCCTGGATGGTTGGGTTCCTGTGGGGATCTGGTTGTGGTTGTGGTTGTAGCTGACGGCTATGTGTGTTCGTGGGAGGTAGTGTTAGCCCGAGAGAAGTAGTTCAGAGAAGGGGGTCACCGTCTGTTTGCTTGTTCTTGTTCTTGGAGAACTGGGGTTATGGTTGGATTTTTCGCGCGCAGGACTACCGTCACGGTGGGTTTACAAGGTTGTTCGTATGCCATAGGCGTTGCGAGTAATGAGTTGATCAGAGCTGGGAAAGGGAAAGGGACGGAAGGACCTGGGGTCAATGAAATATTTATAAGCTTAGGGAGGTAGAGCTTAAAGATTGATCTGTCCTTCTTTGTTGCCATTGATCTTGTCGGCCTCGCAAGGATTTGTGGTTGTGTGAATTGAGGCTTACCGTGGCTTTGAGGTATAGCGGAGATCTCCAGCTATCAGCGTTGGGAGTGATAAAGCCTCTTTTCAAGGTGGATTGTGGACGAAGATGTTTGTATGAATCAGCTGGTTAAGACAAAAGTATCTTTTATTAGGTGTTATTGATGGAATTCCCTTCATTCAGGATATGAAAACGGCGATGATGGAGTCACTTATGTTTTGCATGGGTGTTGGACATGCGGACAGAGGTGTGGAGGGGAGAGAGAGGGATTCTTTGTTCCACGGAGTGACTCCACCCAACACACAATGCCATTGTTCATTGTGCACGCTCGGCCTCGTCCATCGCCGCCAATGCATCTTTCATTAGCGCCTGCGTACTTCGCCGCACCAAGTGCACCCCGAAGGAATTGATCGCATTTTTCCAGCCGGCCCAGCGCGCTCGGTCGAAAGCTTTTGGCTGTTCAGACTCCGGCTCATCCACTTGAAACCCGGCCACGCAGGTGTCCCACATGGGATTCCCTGCGAGGGCGAACCAGAAGCAAGCGGCGCGGACGGCCTCTTCCTCCAGCGCGTTGACGTCTGCATTCTCCAACGCGCGGACGCACAGCCTGAACCCTAACCGGGTGAAGTCCATGCGATGGCCGAGGCGCGGGATGCAATTCGTCAGCTGGGCGATGAAGGCGTTGCGATTCTCCCACTCCTGCACTTCCTGCGGCGGGTAGTCCCGGCAGTGATCCCCGCAGGGCGCGCGGTTCTGCATCCCCGTGCACCGGCACGTCGGGAACCCCTTGAACATGGCCAGCGGGGCGAATGAGAACCGGTGGTTGATGTACTCGCGCAGGCAGGGGAGATCGAGCCACATCCGGTCAGAGAAGGCGACTTTCACGATGCCACCGCGCGTGACCGACTCGGGGACCGCCTTCCGTTGCAGCCTCGCGACCAGTTGCAACAGTTTGATCTGCTCGTCGGCAGGGAGGAGATAGGCGAGCTCGCAGATCGACTGCATCGTGTGGAAGGCATGCTGCTGGTTCAGCCGGTCCCGCACGTAGGTCCGGTTGGAATCCCGCCGCTGCTGGAACTGGCTGTTGCGCTCCCGGAGGAGTTCCTGGATGGCCTCCTCTGGGGTCTTGTCGGGGTTGTTAACCAGCGCGTGGATGATCCAGAACTCCCGGCGTGCCATGAGCCGCGCCCCATAGCCGAGCTCCCGGACTCGACCTGCCATAATTCCGTCCATGATGTCAGTTGTAGCAGAGGTTGGTGATGGAAGACTCAATAGGGGGTAAGCTTACCGTATCAGGATTGGAAGGTTGAAGGTTGAAGCATTGAATAGTGATAGCGGTGAGTGGTTTATATAGTCGTCTCCATCCTCGGTGTCCTCGATGCGGTGTAGAGAAATCCGATAAAGGGGAAGTCTATCTTTGTTGTCTGCACTGGATTGGAGAAAGTCTTCACTCTGTCGCGGAGTACCCCTCTCATAGATGGCTAGACAAAAGACAGGTAACGTGAAGTATACCTACTTAAGGTCTTTGTACGGTGGAGACTTGGCCATTTGAGTGCACCCAGAACAACTCTGGATCAGAGCTGCTGTCCAGTGTAGGGCGCTCAAGAGGGAACAGTGCTTGTTTCTGGGGCTGGGAAAGAGTGGGACGAGGAGGAGCAATCTTAGGTTAGCGTGTGGGGTTGTCGTCGTGCACCACGTATTGTATCACGATGTTTAATGCTTGATCGACCATTTCTGCGACTAGCCACGAAGAAAGCACGCGCTGTATGTTACGTGGTCCCTCCCGGGTTCTAGGCACGTGGCATACAGACCGATCTCTTGGCTCTGTGCTCACGCTCCACTGCGGGCTCGTCAGAATGGACCCTAGCATGACAGGCTGCAGCCTTGGAGCGACTACGGACAACGTAGGACATTATTTTTCGAGCGATCAACAAGATATTGCATTAGCGTGGGCACTGGAGCAATCCACAGAACTCCCGATGACGCACGGTCCTGGTTGCGGTTATGGCCTCTGATCCATTCTGACTCCTAGTGAATGCCAGCCATAGTCCGAGTGACATTCACCTTGGATCCTTGGATTAGTTGTTCTGTCCTGATGAAGCGCAAATTTTCCTCGTCGAGGTTTCTCAGGCAATTCCCCTGATCGACTGTGAGCATTGGTCGATGCGGCGAGAGGAGCTTTCAGGCACAAGTCACATGAGCGCTGAAATGGATAAGCACTCGTGAGAAACTCGCCGATATCTTGATGATATCATCCGCGAGATTCAAATAGAATGCCCCTTTCTCGGATATGCGAGTGCTTCTTCCACTTGGAATATGAGGTTGGGGTCTGGACGCTCTGAAGAGGAGGACGAGAATTCGAAACTACGTCTATACCTAATCGATGACCTTCCTAGGCTGGAAGACATTGTGGTGTCAACGTAAATTGAAAGTTACAACCTTAGATATCACCTCGTCAATCAGATTGCGAATAACCATTCAAGAATCTACGACATTCAAGGCATTGAAGAGTGCCGTGCATATTCACAATCATAAGCTGCAGATGTCGGCACCCTCTGTGGCCACGAGTACAAGTCTCCGATCTTAATATCCAGTCCCAATGGGGCAGTGCCTTCTGGATAGCCTACAAGAGTCACAAGTAAAGTCCACTTGTTGAGCAGAAATGATCTCATATATGCTATATAACATGATGGGTGCAGTAAGTTTCACAGCCAGATCTGCGTTGCTATTTGGTAGTACTTCCAGCAGTAGAGCGCGGAGAATGGTCACCGAGGGTATCTGCAATCCAAGGTAAGGAGTAGGGCCATGATGGGAATTTTGCTCAGTTCGGGGCTACCGTACTACTAGTACATTTCAACCGTGGATACTCGGGAAAATGCGTGAGGAGTGAGACGATGTAAAAAATGAGTACCTTAGTAGAGCCGTCCATAGAACACGATCCAGGATGCAATCAGCATCAGTAACATAGTAGTTTAGCTAGTTCTTGTAGACTCCTCCGACCGGGCCAGCAGAATGACCGCTTATTCTCCTGATTCTGTCTCGAACACTTCCGGTACAGAGCCTTGATATTGTACATCTCAGAGCACAGAAGAAGTGGATTGGGCAGTCTACATGCGGTGGATCGACACTCTGGTGAGCAACATTGTTTTATTATTTTTCTTTTAACAATATCTATTACCACTTCTCGCGAGGACGAAGGCCTCCAAGCTCTAATAGCCACGGTCGCGATCAACAGATGCTGATTCGAAGGTAGACGTCACCTCCTACCCGGCCGGCGATCTCCGCAGTGCAATCCGATGCAGCTCGAGGACCGAGCGACAGGGTGATCTGCAGTCAGGTTTTCAGGACAGCTCCCGCACTAGTCGAAGAAAAGGGCAAGAGGGTTGTAGATCGATCGCTTCTAGCTCCGTGATTGGCCTTTTACAGCAGCTGTGGAAGAAAGATCGAAAAAGCAACACCATCTCTCAGCTCCACATCTTCCCCAGCGAGTGTGCAGCTCCTCAGCAAGCCCATGTCTCAAACTGCGGTATAATTCCGGGCGATTTCGCCTAAAGCTCGGTGGGGTAGGATCTTCCGACTGGGGCTAGGTTCATCTTGCAGGTCAATGAGGCTTTTTATCGGTTCTGGACATTCTCCATATATGTCTCCATACAAACCTGACCGACGGTAGAGGTAGTTACGGGAATTACCTCTTTACCCAGTCCAGTGATGGGCAAAATGACAGCTTGCAAACCATGTTTTGTTATGGAAAAGACGGGCCGGTGCCGAAACGTACCAGATCTCATTACTAGCTCCAGATACAATGAACAGCGGTGAACACTGAGAACCTTCGATTGTGGATACTAACCGAGCACCAAAAAAAAAAAAAAAAAAGTCGGCTTCGGCAATCGATGTCTTCCTGAAAGGTAAAACTTAACCTAGAATCAATTGTAGAGCTACGTATCGCTCATACGCACTCCTCCTGTATGGAAAGAAGGTGACTTTTCCGAGCAAACCGCGCGAACCCCACCGACGATCCTCTTGGCCCCCTTTATCTTTTCAGCTACGGAAGAAGATTCCCGACCAGATTTACTATACCGTCACCGTACCGTACTCGATCTTCCCTGTGTACTGTACGGTGCTTTCCTTGCCCTGCATGTACCTCCAGGCTCCAGGAAGAATTATGGCGATGGCCGGGAGTAATGTCAGAATGTTACAATGGAATCTCACTTTCAGTCTATAAATCCATCAAATTGAAATTCAGGAAGGAATTGGGTCCCTTGGCTTGGAACATGTGGCAAGTATATGTCCTTTAGCATCCTCAGGTGCCAGGAGCTCCCGTCGGAGTGATGCGACCCTTGGCGTAGATAAGATGCTCACCACCGGAGTGAGGGAAGGCAGTATTGACGAGCTGGTAGATATGATCCCATTTGATCATAGCATGGCAGACCTGGTTGGGTTTGGTGGTTAGCACAATGCGACAATCCCAGAAACTTCAAGAACCTCAAAAACTTCAAGGGCATTTAGGGCTACTTACTCCCTTCTCAGGCTCACCGCCGAAGTTCCTCCATCCCACTCCCAAGCAACGGGGATTCAAGGCACATGCTTCAGCACATTCCAGAATCGATTGGCGGTACCACCAGATTTCTTCAACCGCCCCGTTGGTGCGGACATTACATTTGACCTGGAAATCCACACCCCCGAGAGTAAATTGTCGTTGAGAACAAGTGCCGTCGCAGAGACTTCTCCAGCTGTTGCTGCGACACTTCTCATCGACCGACAGCCACTGACCACCAGCCGTGCCACTGCCCACCGACGAGGTCTTATCCTCCAACTCCTTGATCTTCTGCTGGAGGCCTGCCTTTTCGGCTTCATACTGGGACTTGGACTGCTGCAGCTGGTTTTCTCCCTGCTTGCGGATCTCATCCTTCTCCTTCTCACATTGAGAGGTGGCGGCGTCTTTCTCGGATTTGCATTGCAATCGAGCATCATCCACCAACTTCTGAAGCTGATCCTTCTCCGTGGCACACTGAGCGTTGGCGTTGGCGACAGCGCTGTCTTTATCAGCCTGGCACTGCTGCAATTTACTGTCGCCCTGCTGGCGGATTTCATCCTTCTCCTTCTCACATTGAGAGGCGGCGGCGTCTTTCTCGGACTTGGATTGCGACTGAAGCTGATCCTTCTCCGTGGCACATTGGGCGTTGGCGTTGGCGACGGCGCTGTCTTTATCGGCTTGGCACTGCTGCAACTTGCTGTCACCCTGCTGGCGGATTTCATTCTTTTCCTTCTCGCAATCAGAGCTGGCAGCCTCCTTATCCGACTTGCACTGCGCTTCTCCTTCCTGTCGAAGCTGCTCCTTCTCGGTCGCACATTGTTGGCTGGCGCCTGCGAGCGCTGCGGCCTTGTCGGACTCGCATTTCTCTGCGCTAGCGGTGGCGCCGTTGGCGAGTTCAGCCTTCTCAGCTTCGCACTTGGCTTTCTCCTCCCCATGAATCTGCTCTTTCTCAGCCGTGCACTGCTCCAGCGCCGCGGTCTTGTCCGCCTCACATTGGCTTGCCGCGGTGGCGGCCTGCTCTTTGAGTTGAGTCTTCTCGGCTTCGCATTGGGCCTTGGCCCCGGTGAGCGCGCTGGCCTTGTTGCTCTCACACTCCTTCTTCTGTTGCTCCTTCTCCGAGGTACATTGCGCAGCGGCAGTCTCTTTGGCCGCATCGATGAATTCCTTGCAATCCTCCTCCGGATCGGGATCCTCAGGGGTCTCCGCCGACTTGGTCAGGACCATCCAATCCTTTGCCGGCGAATAAGGAGCATAGTCGGTGTTTCCGCTGCCTAGCACGAAGCATTTCTTCCCGGTGCTGTGCCAGGAGGCTCCGGGACAGTCCGGACTCGAACAGAGCTGGGCGCAGTCCTTGGCACTGTTCACCTGTCGGTGCTGCGTGCCCGCGCCACTTTTGCCGGTGAGGTATTGACCACAGGTGAATTCGAAGACGGAATCACCCACGGTCCCTTTTCCGGAGCCTTGGCTTTCAGGACAGCAGAGTTGGTAGTTGGCAGCTCCGACCGTGTTGGAGGATAGACATTTGGAGTTGGAGCCGCTGCTGGCTACCGTAGTGCCTAGCAAGGCGGCAAAAAGGGTGGCTTGGAAAAGCATATCACTGTCGCTCTTTCTGCACGGTAAAAGAGCACAGATATGGAGGTGAACTCAGAGAACAGAAAGATGAATTGGTTGTGGTAAGTGGGGAGGGTAGGGTGTTCGGTGATTACTTTATAGGGACTGAGACAACCATGTCATAGGCTGTGGAAGCCTGCGCGCAATTTCACAAAAGCAAGGCTTTTCCAGTTCGACTTGCCCTAAGATCTCATGGGTCTTCCTCTGCCATCAATTACCAGAGGGCTGATAGTAGACTCCAGTCACATTCATACGACCATCGACAATACACGGACTTCCACAGTCCGTATACTTCAGCTGCTGATCCCTTGGAGATCTCCACATCTGCTGTACGTCTCACGGAGCAATGACCAAATTCGTCAGCTCAGATTAACCGAGGCGATCGATGCGCGCGGAGCATCTCGGGGGTTTGGGCGTTTGGCAGCTAACTCTGTTTAATCAATCGCTAATGAGGGTTTGGCTGGCGCTAAGGCAGGTTCGCTCCGCCCCGGCTGCGATTGACGCCCCACTCCCATGCATTCAATACCCTCGATACCATCAATACACTCCAGACACTCAAAACTTGAGCTGCAGAATCCGAGCGATCACATCTAATTTAGTGTCCATCGTGTCGGGACTTTTTTCCTCCATGCGCGCCCTTTTCTGTCGATCACAGATCACATACTGACGTCTCGTCCCCACTCTGCCTTTTACTCGAAAATGCTACTTCAAGCGGAGCTGACTCTAGTTCAGCACTTCAGCTGAGCCCACAGCTATCCACCTGCTCTTTTGGAGTCGGACTAGTTGATCGGTGTAGGATCTCATCGCCTGTACACAGAGACCAATACATACACCGCCAGCTGCCTATTCCTAGAACCGAAGTGATCGGCATCTGATCCACTTGATTGAGTGGCTAAAGCTGAACTGAGGCGGAGATGCAAATCCGATCAGTATTGATCCAAGAGGACTAGGCGCGGAGAAGCCAAAGAGAATCTGTCGTCGCGGCGAGGAGAGTCGTGGTATAAATACCCTCACTTCCCGATAGCTTTCTGCTTTTCATCACCCTCCTCCTCTCATCCTTTTGTCTCCAACTACCTTTCCCATCACAGCCACACATCATGGCGAAGTTGGGGTCTTTGTTGGCCGTTCTGGTGGCCCTGAGTGCTGCCCAGGTTCAGGCCAAGCTGCCCGGCAAGACCAAGTACACTCTGGATGACATCCGTCCTTTGCAGGACCCTGCCTCTGGCTTGGTCAAGTGTTGTCCCGAGGGAACCGAGTTCGATGGCAAGAACTGTGTCCTGGGTGTTCCCAGCTGCCCGGAAAACTTTGTTCGCAAGGGCGACAAGTGTGTATCGACCATCAAGCCCATCTGTCCCGATGGCAGCGACTACAACGGCAGCATCTGTATCTCGACGGAATTCCCCATCTGTCCTCCTCCCACCGTGCTGAAGGGCAAGACCTGTGTGACTGGCCCCCCGACCTGTCCCTCGGGGCAAGAATACAACGGCAAAGTCTGTCAATCCACCCAGATCCCCGGCTGCCCGGAGAACTACAAGTTCAATGGCAAGTCCTGTGTCAGCACCAAGCAGCCCGAATGTCCTCACGGCATGATCACCTGCGGCGGCAACTGCATCAGCGTCGAGCCTCCAATCTGTCCCGCCGACACCGAGTTCCACGACAACTTCAAGAACTGCGTCTCGACCATCCGCCCCACTTGCGAAGACGGCACTGTCCTCAGCAAGGATGGCCTCTGTGTCGACGAGGCCGGTCCCTCGTGCCCCCCCGACACCACCTTCAACCCCACCACCGGCAAGTGCGTCACCTCCGAGAAGCCTGCCTGCCCTCCCGGCAGTGAGCTCGACCCGGTGAGCAAGAAGTGTGTCATGACCGAGGAAGCCACCTGCCCGCCTGGCAGCGACTTCTCCGCCGATTTCGCCTCCGGCACGGCCCGCTGCTGTCCCTCCGAGATGATTTGGGACGGCGAGGTCTGTGTCTTCGACACCGATGAGACCGGCAAGTGCCCCCCTGGCACCACCAAGGTGGGCCAGCACTGCCAGAAGCAGCCCGTGCGCATCCCGCAATGTCCCCCCGGCTCTAAGCTCGAGCGCAACCGCTGTGTCAGCATTGAGCAGCCCGAATGTCCTCCCGGCCACGTCCTCGAGGCCGGCGTCTGTACCTCGACCGAGCAGCCCGCCTGCCCCCCCGGCCTGACCCTCACCGGTAGCGTGTGTATCTCCACCGAGGAGCCCAACTGCTTGCCCGGCACCCGCCTTGAGGGCACCATCTGCGTCAGCATCGAGCTGCCCGCCTGCGAGGATGGCTTCACCTTCGACGGCGAGAACTGCGTCTCGGAGCTATCCCCCCCCATCTGCCCCGAGGACGGCAGCACCTTCGACGGCGAGGACTGCGTGACGCCGCACTTTCCGACGTGCCCCGACGACACCGTCTTCGACGGCTCCCGCTGCGTCGCCACCAGCACCCCCTCGTGCCCGACGGGCAGCGTCCCCAACGGCTCCGGCGACTGTATCACCACCAGCGTCCCCAAGTGCCCCTCGGGCTCGACCCTGTCCGCCACCGGCGGCTGCATCGTCGGGGTCCCCACGTGCCCCAAGGGCACCCTCTTCGACGGCAAGCAGTGCGTGTCGCGCAAGAACCCGACCTGCCCCGCGGACCACAAGTGGGTGAACGGCAAGTGCATCAGCACGGTGCCGCTGGAGTGCGAGCCGGGCTACCACCTGGTCGACGGCGAGTGCGTCTCCGAAAACCGCCCCGAGTGTCCCCCCGGCACCAGCTTCGACGGCACGACCTGCGTCGGCACCGAGCCCCTCTGTGAGGACGGCCTGGTCTTCGACGGCGAGGAGTGCGCCCACCCCTTGGAGCCCGAGTGTCCCCCTGGCATGCGCTTCAACGGCCGCAAGTGCGTCGCCGAGAGACCGCCCAACTGCTTGCCTGGCACCGTCTTCGTCCCCGCCTCCAAGCTGTGTGTCGCCATCACCCCGCCCGCCTGTCCCCCCGGCCAGGTGTTTAACGGCAAGCAGTGCGCCCTCGAGAGCGGCGACTGTCTCAACTTCGAGTACTGCCCCCCGACCGGCTTCGGGGAACCCGAGTGCCCCGACGGGGCCCTCTACGATCGCCACACCGGCATGTGTGCCGACTGGCTGTACTAGGTTAGGGTGCTTGATGTGTGATGCATGGTTTATGTGGTAGGGATCTTGGGAATGGTGTTGTATTTTAGTGTCTTGTTTAATGAGCAATTTGAATCTCTGCATTTATGCTACTAGTGGATCAAGTAAAACGTAGGATCGTGTGCATGTAGCTAGGTTTATACGTTGAGTCGAAGTGCCGCGCTGTTGGCGGAGGAGCTCTCGTAGACAAAACCAAGTGGATGGATGTTTGGTCTTTCTGCGTCAAGCAAGCTAGATTCAATGTGTGCTATACTCAATTCTGGGTAATTCATACCTTTGTATCCAGTTACTAGTTCACCTTGATGATTCCTTCATAGAGAGGGCCATCATTCCAAGTCCCGAAGACACGCAAAGTACTCTCCAAATTGTCTCTGCGAACAAACAAATAGCGAAAAGACCTTCACCTGAAAGTCTAGTCTGCTGAGTGCCGAAGAAAGACTTAGGGTTGGACTGTCATGATGTCAATCCAGTTCCGACGAGGAACTCGCTTGACCGCTGGTAAGTAGTGTACTGTACTTTTTCCGGTCGGTTCTTTGGGCAGCGACATATGAAATCTCTTAAGGGTAGTGTGATACAAAGAAGCGCACCGGATAGTACTCATGAGGCTAACATGCCAGGTACAGTATACTGTACATACTGTACATCGGTAACAGATCGGCGGGACGAAGTATATTGCATTGAATAATCCCGAACTGCATACACTGCCAGAAAAACGAGGGCACGAACACCCAGAGCCAATGGCTTACTCGAGTGACGGGGAGAATCTAGAGCGTGCTCATGATGTCAATTCGGTTGACGAGGTTTCTCACTCCATTGATGCAAAACAGGGTCCGACCCGTTTTCAGATAGCCACCCATGCAATCTCATGAGGAGATGGTGTGACAATTGCATCCATAACTATAAATTATCCAGAAGGAGTATTCAGCTATGGCGCGTGGAAACGTCCTAATCAAGATCGGAAACTGCGGCAACGGCCCAGCTCCTCTCGCGCACGCAATAGTCACCACCAACTCAAAAGCAATCGAGCGATCTAGAATCCATTCCTCAATCTGGATAAAGATTTGCATCCCCGCGTCCATGGGACGGCCTGCTGGAGAAGATGTCTTCATTGGCCGGCTGAATACTCCGGTGGGGGCAGCGGGCCGAGGATCTTGGCCACTGCCACGCTTATCTGGGCGGCAGCCCGCTCTTCAGACACGCGAAGGATCCCTGGTACCGAGAATCAGTGAACTTGGGTCTGGTCGGAAATGCTATTCCGCGAGAAAGGCTATTAGGAATTGAGTTTGATTCATGGGGAGCTGTTGGTGGTGACGTATTGAACACCCGAGCTGGTGGCCGTGATGGGATTTTACGAACCATCGAAACCCTAAGCTAGGTGGACTATAGCCACATATACGGTACCAGCTTAAACCCTTTGAGCAGATACGTTACGTTCGTAACTCAATTAACATACCCATCCACATTAATCCTCACCAATAGCGCCCACCTCCCTCGCAATCTCCACCATCCCCCCCAGCACCTCCTTCTCCGCGGCGCTGAAAGTCCCGACATGATCCGCCGCCAGACAGCAGACGTTATTTTGCTGCAGCTTCCACGCGCCCACGGCTGTCGCATCCGGCGGTTCCGTGACGAACGCCTCGAACGCCGTCGGCTGCTGGCGCGGGTCGTCCGAGTACTTGTTCGGAAGCAACCACCCGTTGAACCACAGCGGGCGGCCGTCGGTTCCCAGGTGCAGCAGCTGCGGCGCGCATATGCTGAACCGGGGGTCTTCGGGGCTCCCACTCCCGGCATTCTCTTCAGATGCATCCGCAGTCTCATTCCCGATCACTCGAGCACGGTTCACCCGCGCCGTGCCCATGACCGCCGCGGCGCCCTCATGGAATGCGTAATCCGCATCCCCTACGAGCTCCCAGCCCAGCCAGAAGGTTTCTTTATCGCCTGTTGACTCGTTAACCAAGCCCGTCACCCATGCGTAGTAGTATCCTCTTCCTCTCCCAAAAACAAAATAGACAAAAACCAAGGGGGAAAGACAAACCGTAAACCATATCATAAACGCCGACCTTGCCGTTCGCCTTATCGCCGTCGCGATCCGGCCCATTCAGCCGCGTCACCAGCAGCAACGCCACGAAATGCCGCCACTTGTCGACGACCACCACGCCAGACTCCTGCATATGGATGCTCTGGCCCGTCCACATGCGGCTGCGGCGCACCGCCCGCGACAACGGCGGCGGCAGCACCTGCCGCAGCCACGCGCGCTTCTCCCCGGGCATGAGCAGTCGGTCCTTGAAGAAGAGGGCCCCGGTCTCGACGTAGCCGGGATTGTTGAAGAGGTCCGCCGGGTTGGTGAGGAAGAGTGCGTCCGCGTCGATGAAGATCGCTTCGCGGAAGCTAGAGAGAAGAATGGCAAAAGGTTTGGCGGCCCAGCCGCGCAGTGTCCAGCCTTCGTCTTGCACCATTGGTGACAGGTCGCGTGTGATCACGCCGGGGATGGCTTCGAAGGCGTCGCGGGCGTCTTCGCCCAGGTCGTCGTCGCCTAGGTACATGATTTCTACTGGGAGGGTGCAGCCTTGTCGGCGGAGGGATTGCAGGGAGGTTAGTACGTAGGGCGCTTGTTTGTCGCCGGCGGTTAGGACGATACCTCTTCCACCGTTGTGGAATTGCGTGTGTAGCGTGGCGTGCGAGGGGAAGTAGGGGGTCGTCCAGTCGAAGAGACGCGTGGAGAGCTGCGTGTAGAAAGTGCGGAGGGTCTCGTAGCTGTGCATTAGCGTGAGGGTGTCGGTTTGGAGGTCGTGTGCGATGGCGGGGTCGTTCTGGAGGAGCTGGAGGATGTCATCGCGGGTGAGGGGGCCTGTGGCCGTGGGGATGAGGTGGACGGCTTCCCAGGCGTCAAGGAGGGAGCGGAAAACCCGGGCCCGCAGGCCGAGTTCGTGGACTTTGGCTTCACCTGTGCTGGTGATGGGGTTGACGAGGCCTTGCGCCTGGGATGAGTTGGGAAGGAGGGAGAGGAGGTGGGAGAGGTTCTTGATGAAATTCGTGCGGTCAAAGTTGGGCAGGGTGTTGCTGGGGGGAGCTGGGTTGTGTAGGGCTAGTGGGCTTTGAGAGTGGACGTCTGTGATTACAACGCTTGGGTCTTCTCGTTTATATAGAGGATGAGCACAGAGCCCTGCATGGTGGTACTCGATGGTGAGCAGAGTTGCTTTGAAGCAGTATCCTATGAGAAGAACGAGGAGCAGTGCCCTCGACAGGATTGACGCCCGTCGGGTCTGGTTGGGGAAATGCGAGACGGTAAACATTGAACTGAGATTGTGCGGCCGTGAGTAGGATTGATGATGAAACACCGGTTGATTATGGGACAAGATTCTTATAGCACATATCTCAGAGTTGGTCTAGCGTCGAGAGCAAATGCCCATGTCTAGAATGTGGTCTTGACGTCGCAGACTTTCGCATTGATGTGGAACCGCGTGCTCCTCAAAGCCTCATACCGGTCTAGAACGTTGCGCGAATTTCAGCCTCAAGAAAACAAAGAAAGCAAACCGGAACCAGGCGGCCATCCTTATCTGCTTTGGATAGAATGAAATGCCGAAATCAAAATTGCTAAGGTGTGGTGCGATCCAGTGTGCAAATATGGTTCTTAGAGCTCGGGTCAACTCTGAAGCTGGGAGCTGAACTCTGTTAGAAGCATGACAGCACTTCTGACCGGAGTTGGTATTCCACCCAAACTTCATGATGGAGCCTAAAAACCTTGTACAAGCTTAAGCTCTAGTGTTCGGTGCTTGAAAGGAAGTCAATTGATCTTGCCACTGACCCTGACAAACTCAGTGCATTTCTATACCGCCCACTCAAAGATGTCTAGAACAAAGAGAACAGGAGACAGATTTCAGAAAGCGAACCCAGCAAGTAAACTTCATACGAGAAGGAGGTTTGTGAGGTCACCACTTGAGTCACCACTTGGATCAGTCAGTTTGCTGCCCCTGTAGAAACATGCGGCATCGTCTATATAAGAGTCCTGATCACCAGAGCTTCATCTTTCTGCCCGAGACAATAATCAAGTTCATGATAGCTTTCCTCCAAGTCCTTTCAAGATGAAAGTCTACTTCAAGTTGGTGCTCAGCTTTGCTGTGCTGAACCTTCTATCTACACTTGTTGCTGCCGGCCCAGGAGGATGGATACCAAGATCCCGCTACAAGAAACCTACCCTCTTCCAACGACAAACCCCTTTGCCAACGGGCGTAAATCCCACGATGGCCCAGTTCATCATCGGCCAGCAAAACTACGGGACAAGCGTGATGCTCTCAATTTCGGGTTCTAACCTTATTGTCAGTTACCCACAAACTCTAGATTACACATACAATGAGGTGCATGTCTGGATTGGTACAGGCGTCCCCCCCGGTTCTGGACCTGGCCAGTACCCCTACACCAACTCGAATGGGTTCTGTAACTTGAATGGTCCCACTGCTACTTGCACTATTCCTATCTCGAGCATCACCACCAGCAATCCATGCGGAAAGTCCTTCAGTATTGTGACCCATGCGGGACTTGTCTCACCGACTCGTCCACCGGAGACCGGGACTGCCGGTGACAAGACTGGGTTTAGAAGCTGGTGGAAGTATTTCGAATTTACATTTACCTGTTCTTCAACAAGTACAACTACTACTACAATACCAACTACAACTACTACTAGTACAACAACTACTACAGTACCAACAACATCAACTACAACGACAGAAGAACCAACAACTACTAGTACAACAACTAC